TTAACTGAATTTTTTGATGAATTGAAGAAGGCGCAAGGTATACAACAGGAAAATTAACCAGCAAATCGAACGGTATTCCGAAGGAACGTACCTCGCCACTAGTGGAATTTCTTCTCGACTTCCGGCTGCTTGCAACAAAGTTACCAAGACGTGACCAGTTGATTAAATCGTCGTCGTTGTCTGGTCTCTTTATGGAAGCGTTTTACGTGTCATCCTCTAATGAGTTTTTGTTAACATTGTTGGGTAAGTTTGAACACTTCGAGGCGATTAGATTCTTCGTTTAATCCTAAAAAAACAGTTTTCAACAATAAGATAACAAGGTACAAACTATCAGAATAGCGAAAATAACTAATTTATAATTTTCTCAGTTAAATTTTATGTACTTGCGTTAGTGCGTTCTCGTGAACTCGAACATCGTTTTAACATCGTTAAAGGATAGAAAGATAAAAAGAAAAAGTAAAAATTAGAAACAAGATATTAGGTTGATGCAATATTGGTCCCTAATGGATTAATCTGGACAAAGAACGGTGGAGTACGCTATAGAAATTCCAAACGAGCGCTTTTGCTGGCAAGGCTGTACGACGTTCTACCGATGCACGTGCAGATTTGCACGGATGAAATTCCAACACGGCGAACGTTTATGGGGGGATTGATTGTTTAAACAAGCGTTTAAGCGTTCGCGGAGGTGTCGCAAAATCTCTGTGACTGTGTTCCGTCGAAGGCTGGCCAAGGACGGAGATCGCGACGATTCATGGAAGAGAGAGAAACGAGCAAAGCATATACATTACATATGCAGTTTGGCCGGATAGAGAGAACCTTGTACATAAAGAACCTTTTGACCTTTGCGGAAGAGTGTCAGGTGAGCTCGTCGTGCATAGAAAAACGTAGCCAGCGTAATTTCCATTTGGTGTCGAGTTTTGCATTACGCTGCAAAAAAACGGACAGAGTCTTATTATATCCACGTGTTCGTCCGGTATTTTCATTTCCTTTGTCCTCGCATTTCCTATTTACATTTTCCCGCGCACTGGTCTAAGACGCTTGGCAACCGACGTGTCTTCGTTCCCTTCGCGAAGAAAGAAGAAAAAGGAGATGGGAAAGAATACAGAGAGCTAGAAAGAGGAAGAAGAAGGTGAAAAGGAAGGTGGTAAGAAAAGTGAGGGATATCGAGCAATGGAGAGGGGAGAATGATAGTATTAATATTAATACGAGGCGGTGAGCGTCAATCGAATTATGTATACGGGCTTGTTTACTCTAGGCCGTGTCTAACGAATCGATTCATTAAGTCTTGGAAGGTTGCTTGAGAAAGACGACTTTGGCTACGCTCGTTGGACGAACGAAACAGCCCTGATGTTATAACACTTTTGGAATACTTATAACAGACATATGGAAGATTCAAATCTCGTGAATGTAAGTGGCAAAGTTCGATATTCGAATAACAAATACTTTAATGATCTCTATCTGAATACTTTGTTAAGTACGTTGTCGTGATAGGTGGTAAATAGATGTCGTTCGCGATGAATCTTTAGAGACTTCGATGAAGCGAAACGTGGAATTTCCGCCATTTTGCCCGGTTGGGGGTTGGTCCAGAGGGGATGCTGCGCACATTTACTTCCGTATCATCCGCACAGAGGCAGAGCAATGCTCTGATTGGACCTACATCCCCGGTTTTGGAGGGTTGTTGCTTCCCTCTTCTTTGACCAAAACGCGAACATGGTGTATCCTCCATTTTATACCATAGTAACTGCACACAGATTCTATACAGAATATCCTTCTGCAAAGTTCTTTGATATTGCATTGATATCTCTTCTATCTTCCTAGCGACACATTACATAACTTAATCATACCAATCTCTCCTATATCGGAAAAAACAGCTTCCATATAACGTACATAGTCCCCAAGTTATCCTGCCAAATTTCCAATTCATTTCAAATTATCAGTAAATCCCAGTTAATTGTAAAAAGTTAGAAGAATCGATCGACAGGAGAGTCAACAACCTCCTAGTTGAAAATTCTGATAAGAAGGCTTGGAATTAATCGTCGGAGCCTGAACAGGGGCAAACACAGAGATTCGGGGACGACGACTGCGCAGGATTTCTCTCTCGATGCGGCGTGTGTCGCGGTGGCGGTTGGCCAACCCCTTGATGGCAGCGGAGGGTGGCAGAGGGTGCGGTCTCTTGCTCGTAATCAATACCGGTGTCGGCTGGCCTCGCTCCGCCGTTCTCTCGCCACCCACGCGAAATCCTGCAGACACCGGCTGCCACGCCACGAATTTTTCGCCTTGTCGTCACCGACTGTCGCCGCCACCGCCTCCCTTATCGGCTTTTGTCGTCGCGTCATTCCCTTCGCGTCGTCACGGCTTTCTACCCTCTTCCCTCGTGTGCCCAACCGCGGGTCGTTGTCGTGCAACGAAGGAGATACGCTGGTTCGTTTATCTGCTAGTTTCAATTTTTACGAACCAAGTACGTAACAAGAGCGTAAGAAACCGGAGAGTTCAACGTAGGCGAAGGCGCCACTATAAATTCAAGTTTTGAAACATATAGATACCATGAAATCTTGGCACGACCGTATGTAGACGCCGCGGCAATCAAGTTCTTCGCAGAATCTGCCACCCACCAGAAACTTAGACGCCACCGAGTCTATAATCTTGCTGTCGTTAAAAATTTGTTTAGTAACGTTGCAATGATATCGTGATTCGTCTGCGATGAATTCTATAGCTGGCATCGAACTAATCGATCGCTCAGGGCCGTCGAAGAACACTCTCGCTACTTACCATTCTCTCTTCTATTTCTTCTTTGTTGTTCTATACGATCGTTGCCTATGCAATCATCCAAAGAAAGAACACGTGTAACGTACATATATATATATTTAGATGTAAGATTTAGCGCAGTTAAATTGTCGTATAAATATAACGGATAAAGTTAGTCAGCGAGAAATAAGAGAAACGCGAACGAGCCACGGACGTTGATTCTCCTCGGGGGCGCTTCCTGAAAGGCGAGCCGTTAATCGTATAAATGATTCTCACGGGAGCATCGTAATTATACCGCGGCACATTCCTTGGCCACGGCTCCGGAGGCAGCAAACGTAAACGTAGATGCGTGAGAGTGCGTACATGCGAAACTCGGCCGCGTGTTGCTTAAATCATTAATTAGTGCCGCACGCGCTACGCTGCACTGTTGAAAACTAGAGTTTCGCACGGGGCCGCGCGTATAAATGCTGCCGCGATGATTAACTGTTGAATAATCGCGCGATTCTTCGCTGTTAACTGTACATATTCCGCTTGGAAATCCAACATTTAATATCTTATCCTGATTTCAACCGCGTCTAAACGCACGAGTTCGATGTAAATCACGTCCTGTTTTCTCCTATTCTCGCCTCCACCGAACGGGAGGAAAGTCTTTTAGCTAGCTAGTTGACTAGTTTGAATCGATTAACCTAACGAAGTTTTCATATTCATTACTATTTAAACGTTAGAAATAGAAATTAATGTATACTCTATCACACGATACTTCGGATCTTGGCTGGTATATAGTCGCTAGTAAATTATAATTTTCAAGGATTACTGTGCAACATCGTAGAAAGTGTTTTGACGCAAGCAGTTAAAGCTGAGACGATACGTTCGGTATTCACGTGTAAGAAGTTCTATTTTCGAAAATACCAGAATTGCGAATCAGACCCTGTTCGTCTTCCCTAAATTTTGACCGTGTGATTTTTTTCACTGTCTTCACTTCGCTCGTTGGACAGATTATAGTTACTTTCTCGAATAAACGCAAGCGCATATACACGATGAAGGTAACGGTAATGGCGTCCAAATTTCTAACGAGTCATGCCATACCTCTTTACAGTTCACAAGGATGCAGCGTAGGCACGCTTACAATCGTCGACGTTACTCTCCCTCTGGTGAATCTTTCGTTTTCTTTTTATTCCTCGCGCTAAATGCGTATTCTGTTTATTCCTTACGAGTAGGAGTTAATTTTATTGTAAACAGGCTGACAGTGAAATATGCAGCAGTGCGGCGTTGCCAAATAAACGGCGCACACAGAAAACGCTCGAAATCCCGCAGCAAACGTTTCGGATGAAAGTGGAAAAAATATGTCGCGGCGTGTTGGAGTACGGCCTCTGGGTATTTTCGCTGTCGAGTCTGCAGAATTCCTGTCTTGAAATTTTCGAAATACATATTCACGCCGCCATGTTGGATATAGAAACGACCGAAGCGCTATATCGCGAGAATCGTGCTTTACCAACAGCGCAAAAATTATTTCTCTCACATGTATCTGGCCTCATCTTATGTATTATGAAGTATCTCTTTATTTTTACTCTTTTTTTATCACGGCTACTTTTTATTCCGTATAATATTCGCACTTGTCATCGGCGATTTCTATTAATGCCGGTTTCAAGGCGTTCTCTCTCTCTCTCTCTCACTCTCTCTCTTGTGTTGACATTCGAATGCATTTCGCATAGTGGCTACGTATGACTCTGCTTCGACGCATCTCTGTAACTATATTCCACCGTCCGGTGATCATACCACGCTTCATTGAGATTGCACAATCTGCTGGCGCCTCCCGTTAACAAAATATCGGGTTGATGAGAATGCACTTATATTTCGTAGGCTACTGATCTGCCCTAATGAAAAACTATTCGTTGATTGACTAAATTAAGAGGATTAAAGGAATTTTTATCGAAGATCTCATTTCAAGGATTGGGGAAGGAATTACATTTGATTATCCAACAGAACACATTAACAATTGCATGTTTTATATAGAAAGAATTATGTTCATACAATGAACTTTTGATCTATACATGCACATACATCTACACATATTTTAAGAGCCTCTAAGAATAGATTTTGTGCGATTTTATCGACCGCAACGTTTTGAACATACAAAGATAAAGTAGAGATCTGACGAATTTTCTTAATATACGTATATTGATAAAAAAAGTGTAGTGATACCTACTATAATGACACTTGATAAAGGCAGTGAAAAGAGCGTGAAAGGAAATCGATAGAGGGCGGGCAGGTTCAAATGATTGTCGTGACATTCGGGACCTGTCGGCACAGTTTTTATTTCGCGTATTCCGCGATCGAGGCAATTGAAGGCTCGAAATGTCAGAAATTCGACGGGAATCTACGAATGTTTGTAATGTCAGTTACAAGTGACGCATTAGCGCTTCCCGCGGCGCGTTCTTCACGCGAAACGATGCCAACAGGATAAATTATGCCTCGAAAAGAGAACACGTAAGTGTCTATTAGCCAGCTTCTAACCTCGACCACTTTTATTACCAAGATTACTCCCCTTCTCTTTGCGTCTTTTTCTCTGGAACAAGAACGAACAAACGTAAAAAATAAATTAAAAAATAAAAAGTAAAAAAACTAATGGTCCGCTCGTTAACGTGGACATCTTCTCAGCAAAGCGAAAACATGGGAGCGAGACAGAAGAAAACGTATGAACGCTTACTTCAAAACTCTGGCAGACCTTTTGCCCCCGCATCAGGAGGGTCGCAAACGCAACAAGGTCGACATCCTGATTCACGCATCGAAGTATATCAAAGACCTCCATAGCCGTACAGAGGAGTTGTTTTCTGCTCATGCCTCTGAAGCGCATAGTAAGCAAATTTTTTGACGATAACTGTAACTTGTTTGTGGTTGAGATTATCTTTTTTCATATTTTTATCATATATTTTTGATGATAGAGGAGGAATTGGCTCGTCTGAAAAAACTTGTAACTCAGCTTTTCTCTCGTACTCAACTATTATCTACTCTTCTACGAGATGCTGGTATCTCTGTGCCAGCAGAGCCAGCCCTTGAAAAGATATCTCCCCTGAAATGGTCGAATAAAATTAATGTAGAGGATGCAGAGAAGTATTTCAGCAAAACGGAAGAAGTTACGAATAATAAAGGTAATATTTGTAAATGAGAAATAATTTTTTTGGGTTTAGGTGTTTGTAAAAGATATTTGATTTCAGTGAAGAATTCTGAATGCAAAAGGGAGAAGTCTGCAGAACTCAAAGTGCCTTCTAAGAGAAAATCAGTTACTTCTTCTCATTCGTCTAGTAAAAAATCAATCGAAAATAGCGATATTTCTAAGGATGTGAATAGTTGTTCCTTAGAGAATCAAGAGAATCAAGTAAATTCTGCAAACAGCAATGATGATAACTCAGAGGCTACAAGTAATGCATCAGATACAAGATCCAAAGAACCAGAATGTTGTCAAACGAACACAAGTAAACATTTCTACTTAACTCTAGTTTTACAACTTGTTTCAGATAATGAAAGTATGTACTTCTTACTATTTTGTTAATTAGGTTGTGACATAGCAGTCAATTGTCCAGTAAATAGCAAAACTAATGATGGTAGGTATAGAAAATATAATTACACATCAAAGTTTCTCTTAGCAATTTATCATATATAATTATACAATACTGTTTTAGCATTGCAAAAAGTAGAATCTCAAAAAAAGGTAAAAAGGAAATCGAAGAAAAAGGAGGAGAAAAAATCATTGACGCAGTGTATAAATAATTCCGTGACTAGTTTGACCCCAAATACCCTCATATTATCTGGTGGTAAATTAATGCCCTTGGTAACTCCAATGACATCGAACATAATTGTAAATACTCAGCAACAACCAGCGAATCCCATAATCCTCGGTAACAGTCAGCAAAATCAGATGATTGTGATGCAACCTTTGACAAATCGTGTACAAAACCCGGTTGTTTCCATTTGCAATCAAGCTGTGATTAATACGGTTCAGAAAGTTACGCTCAATACGGTCCCTAGTATTCGCACGAAAATGGTAGTGGATTCACAAAATTGGACATCCAATGTGAAGAACATAATCAATGCAACAAAGATAGGTGGCCACAAAGGCATTTTGCCTAAGGGTAAGGAGATTACGGAAACAACGATGACATATAAAGTTCCTATTCCGGCGGTTCATAAGGAAAAAGCAGAAAAATATAAAGAACATGGATCTAAGAAGGAGATGGAAGTTAGATTGAAGGCCAACAAAAGTCACAGTAAGAGTTCTAAAAATCAACAGCCTACAGAAACTGTTGAAGAAAAGAATGAAAAAGAGAAAGTCACAAAAAATATTGAAGACGCAAATTCTGTGCAGAAAACTGTACTTAAACGTTCTGCAAGCGCAGAAGCTGGATGTGTGGATGAACCTAGTGATAAAAAACGAAAAACGGATGAAAACCGTGAACACAACTCAGCGAGTACGGTATCTATACCGAAGTCGGATTTTGCTGTCACTTGTAAATCTATTGAAAGTTTGAAACACGTTATAGAAAAGATAGGTGAAGAAACGAATGAAGAACAAGATAAAAGTAATTCCCTGAATGATTCTGAAGAAAATACAGAAACGAACGTAGAATGTTCCGTTTTGTTAAGTGGTACTAACCAGGAGGATATTTCTGACTCTTCAAAATCAGCGGAGGTTCTGACAGTGGATAGCATCCATTGTGAGACAAAAGGATGCCGAGATGCATCAGTTTCGCATACAACATCCCCAGTCACTTTCTCGGACGAACACTTAAAATCTTCCAATGAAAATGTTTCAGTTTCACCTGAAACTGATTTTAACATTACCATAAACAGTACACTGGAAAAGTCAAGCAACAATATCAGTTGCTCTGATTCTAAATCAACTTTGACAGAAGTAGCAAAAACGGTTGAAAATCCTGTGGCTAAAAAGATGAAAGATGTTTGTAATCTTGATACAGAATTTGACAACCTCTTACAGGTGGCACCAAAAGAGCCAGAGGTTGTTGAGGGAACGACAACTAACTTAGAAAGTAATAAAATTATTTTAAATCTAGATACAAATACCACAACAACTTTGAAACCAGAAACAAGTACTGCAGTTCAAACTCCAGATATCACAACGCCGTCATCGTCATTGCTTTCGGTTAATATAGTGGAGGACGAATCCAAGATAGCAAAAACATCAAAGGACGAAGTATCAAAATCGTCACTATCATATAACACGGAGAATACTTTTGTACCTATTGGTAATAGAGCCGATGGTCTTCATTCTGATCTTTCAAATGATATATTTGCATCTCTTCAAGTTCCTTCCAGCTCTCACAATCCAGAATCTATATCTCCTACAGCAGCATTTTTAATGGCTTTCCCATTAGTGTCTTCGCTAAATGGTAAAACAGAAGTCTTAGAGGAGGAAATGAAAGAGGATTTCAAATATCATAGTCAAACGCCACCCATGCTTCTACAGATCGGGGCAATGGAACCTAATAGTTTTAAGCTAAAGGCAGCATCACCACCTCATTCCACCGTAGAAAAACGTCTAAAAGTAACATGCGAAGAAAAAAAGACTATAAATCCTCCCGTGAGCGAGACAGTGTCACCAAACATGATGGTGGAATGTACTACAACTGCGAAAGCCTTGCCCAAAGTTATAAACGACGAACCTCTCAGGGAACCTTATAAAATTGTTGTAGAAAAGTCTACAACTTCTAGTTCTTTCTCCAATGCGACTATGTATTCTATTTCAAATGCTTCAGGTACTACTTCAGTTATCAATACTTCAGAAACGGGAGAAAATTGTCAGAACCAACTCACAACAAATTTGAGAAATGCAATCACAAACACTACTAATGAAAATGTTGCTGTTTCTCAGATTAATACAGTCTCTATTTCAAATAAATCAGATCCAACTAATTGTCCTGTACAGGCATCAACCTGTGACACTAATGTTCGATATAGCACTTCTCAGGATTTTTTATCGAGTTACTCGACGATCGTTGAGAACAATTTGACCACTTTGCAACAGAATGCAAATTCTTGTTCGGCGATTCAAGAAACGAATGCATCTGGTTTGACTCAAAATGTCGTTCCAGATGTGTCGCAGGCACCACCTCTAGTTTCACATTTGACTAATACTAACACAACAACAAATACTTCGTCCCTGCCTTTACAAACATTGCAAATGGAATATACTTCTCATATGAAGGATAAAGAATCTCACAGTTCCCGTGTTGCTTACGGAGTTCATGGCAAGGATCCTCTAGTAGATTCTAACATAGTTACCAATAATCGTTTGAACTATACTGGCCATATAGACAGAGTTCTTCCCACTCCTTCTCAGAATATCCAGCAAGAGTATTCAATGCGATCTAAAGAAGCGACTCTACCAATTCTCCCTTCACAACCCATGCAGACTGTCTATGAATCACAACCTAAAGATAGTCACGTTCTAACTACTCAACAAAATGTTCATCAGAATTACACTTCAGTTCATGAGAAAGATCATATTATTCAGAACTCTCACAATGATTACACCATTGATCAGAATAAAAATGTGCCTCGAAAGGATTCGTATTCGACAGGGAGTAGTAACGCAACCACGTCGAACAGGAATCCGAGTTACCCTTCGAAAGATTCGATATCAAACTCATCCGAGGATCATTTCCAACGCAGTTATACGAAGATAAACAAGGAGTCTGATTCTTCGGGCACCAATGTCGTGAATCAGGATCAAAAATTGAACGATGTTTTGAGATCAAAAGCTCAGGAACCACAAGGTCATAGACGTGATACTAATTATAATTCTGCAAAAAAGATGGATGTCGATCCGTTTGCTCAAACATTTTCCTATGGAGTGAAAGAATCTATGAGCACCCAGGCCGAGCAGAGTGTTTTGAATCAGAACACCGACAATATATATCAAAGTAAAAGGGACGAGACTCAAAATTATTCTACTTATTCTAACAAAGATACAAAGAAGATCAACACTAGTTCTTCTAATAATATAAGCAACAAACCTCTCATTCAGAATACTCCTGTTACACGTTACTCGCAACAACCGACGTCGTTCGTGGCTACGTCCAACTATGAGCAGAGTACGGTTACTGAAAATCATGCAAAGTCAACAACCACCGTTGCTCATAATTCCTCCAATTTCAGCATTTTGTCTTGGACGACTTTTTCTCCTGTAGGCGGAGGGAATAATAATAATCTGGTACAATTTGAGCAGGGACCAAGTCAAACTGATAATACTGAGGCAAAAACGATATGTGAGAATTATAGTTACGTTCCCCTCCATAAAGAAAATCCAAATTTCTCCAACGTGTTGACGAACGATGTTTTTTCTGTGAATTCTACTATGGCTAATATGGACAAATCAAGAATGAAATCGGGAATGGAAACACAAAAACAGTCCTTTGTGGATCCTTCTAAAACCAGGAATATTCAGACCAATGTTCCACCATCTAGTAAGCAAAATCGTTTGCAGAATCAAACTTCTTCCAACAACAATGATTACAACAAATTTAGCACGGAAAACAAAAACAAGTCTAAGTATGGAATGGAATCAGAGTATATTCAAAACGAATATTCTGGTATGGAGCAACAATCACAACAGCAACAGCCACATGGACCAAAGAATCATCAATCTATGGCAGCGAAGCAGGACAAGACAATCTATCCAATGTCTAACTATGACTCTCAAGTAAACTTTGATTTGTCCGAAGTTAGCGCGCAAATGAAGTACCCCGTTGAGACTTATACAAGTTCGAATTTCAAATATCCTGACAAATCTCAGCAGCAAAGTCAGAATAAATATCAACCTTTGGTCCAAGGACAGGTCCCATCTCTTCAACATGACAGCGGTACTTACAATAACGATGGAAAACATGGACAGCAACAAAGTACAACAAAGTCGAAAGGAAACCAGCAACAACACGCAATTAGAGCGCCTGTAAATTGGATGATGACCCCAGAGATTAAACATAATGCCAATATTGCCGATATTATTTTACCACCTATTGGAAAGGAGCTAGAATTTTGTCAGAACAATCTGTTTGCTCAAACACCATCCTACAATCAAGGAACAGCGAATCAATTTTATAACAATTACGATGTCGCAGCTCATAGTTTTTCTAATTTACCGGTCTTGCAGAGTGAGCCAAAAAGAACCTCAGAAGTGTTCTATTCCGAGGAACAACCATTCCCCTGGTCTCCCACGAAAACCAGCATTCATGTTGAACAAGCTCAACCAGTCAAGGGTATAGATCAGCATATTGTACCCTCCAGTCTTCCAACGTTGGTCGGTGATCTAGATTTAGGTACCAATATACCCGAGAAGCAGAATTTCTTATTTGGGCAAGTACCTTCGAGAGTACCTTCTGATCAGAGTAAAGATTCCATCAAGGATAAAGAAGGAAATGTTGTGGGACGTGATTTTCATACTGTATTGAATAATCAGACGGTCCAGCATCCAACAGCTGGATCCTCTTTCCTTTCAGTGAGTCAATTGGTGGAACACGAGAAAGCTGAAAAATCTCATCAGCAACACCATCAACAGCACCATCACCACCATCACCACCATCATCATCATGCTCATCAGCATCAACAACAACAACAACAACAGGCGAGGAAGCATCAAAGGAAAAGCAATACTAGTCCTAGAGGAAACAGTAAAAGGCAGTTGGATATCCGCAAACAAGGATCAGGTAATGATCAACTACATCAAAGACATGAGGAGCAAAAATCGTCCGGGCACACCTTTCCTGAACAAGGATACCAACAGCAACAGCAGCAACAACAGCAAAAGTATCAACAGAATAACGTTCATTGGAGGAACAGGAATTGTAAGAGCAATTATACAGCCGAGGCACTGATAGGGACTAATAGTAGCGTACATGACACAAACCAAGACAAACACGCTTCGATTAAGTTCTCCACAAATTATTCGCAGAACAAGTTTCAAACAAGCCTGCCCACTGCGGATGCAGTCATGCCCCTTAATTATTTCTCAAATGCGGATGATGGAAGTGGTTATGGACAAATGGTGAACCAGAACTTTAATTCGTATACATACTCTTCTAACGCTAATATTTATCCCACTTCGAATTTTATAACCAGTATATCAAACACACCTACCAGTTACATGATGCCATTGCACGATAACGCTGACTATATGGAAACGAATGCCTTCTTGTTGTCAAATGTGACTGTTACCTCAACTACCACCTCTTCATCCTCGTCTACCGTGACAACCTCGACTTCAAACGTGAATACGAACGTAAAGAACCATCAACACTATGGAAAGCAGCAAAATTGTGATAAAAGGCCATATCCTACGAACGCAAAGAAAGCAAAAAGAAAAGCTCTCGATGGAACCATGCAGAACTTAGAGTTTCCTTTGTCTGGTATCAATTCACCCCTAGAGGATTATCATCACTCTACTACATTTTTACCGCCGCCACCGCCGCCACACGCTAGCCCTCTTTATCAGAATCACACACAGACAAATGTATATACCAAAGCGGTAAATGGTCTACCACCGCCACCACCTGTAGGTGGTCCTCAGGGTGTACCTGCGGTAGCAACAGCTGGGTTTCCAATGAATCCAAACATGCCAAGAGGAGGCATCGTTGCCGGCAATCATATGACTATGAGCCATCATCCTTCTGGCACGAGTTTAACCAACTTCAATTTAAGTACCATTTTCCCAGAGATGAATGACAAAGTATGTGGACCTTTTGTTCACTCTAATCCTTTGTTCTCAAATTGTCCATAAAATAATGCCCTATCGATAATATTAAACTCGTAATCAAGGGATGGTACACTTTAAAATGATTGAAGGTGAGAAATAAAAAGATGGGTACAAAGGATTAGAATTGATGTTTTACCGCTTAGAGTGGCACATTGGATAACTGTCTAGCTTATTTGTTAGATCACTGGATATAAACCACCAAACGGTATACCACCTGGCTTGTCGCAGCCGCCAAATCAGTCTGCAACTTATGCACAGAGGACTAATTATACAACGAATCCTCTCTGCCATTTACCACAGGTTTGTTTAATAACCAAAGAATTTAGTATTCCCTGTGAGCTAAAATTAAACAGGAGCGTTGTCTTCAGGTGTCGGAAGAAAGTCAATTTGGTAATAGCGTTCCTCCTCCTCCTCCTCCACCTCCTCCTGGAGTGATTCATTACAAGAATGTATGATAATGTAAGTATGAATGTAGTGTAGTGTATCATACTTACATTATCATTATGACAATGTATGGATGATGATGTAAGTATGAGAAATTACACATTAATCATTCTATTATTGTATATATGTAAATAATCGTGTAATTGATTAAATTAAAAGAGGTTGATATATATTTGCGATATGTTTGATTTTGTATTACATTATAAGGTTAGTGATGAATGATATTAAAAATGAGTTTACAAATAACTTGTACCAACGCAAATTTTGCATCTTATTGTATATTTTGTTACAATTTGAAAACGTTGTCAAGTTTATTTCACATTAGTTCGTTAAAAGAGGATTTCATCGAATTTTATATAAAAATTGACACACTGTTGGTAAATATATATTATTTATTACTACAATCTTGTGATTTATCTCAATTATAAAGGAATAATATAGGAAACCAGTATCACAGCGTATATTCCTAGCTAAACCACTTTCACGCTGCATTATCTAATGTCTTTGGTAGGTGGCTTCAGCGGAATCTTTCCAAAAATAAATTTCTCCGCCATGTACATGTTCTTCTCGTCGTCTGTTAGTTGATTGTCTAACGAATAAATATTGTCGTCAATAACGATTGCCGTCAGCGTTACTCCGAATGTCGATTTTCCAAACGGTTCGTGCGTAGACGTAGCAGTACTAGAAGTTTGATTTTGTGCAAAAGTACCAAATGGAGAAGTAATTTGTTGTTGCTGGGGTGTAAACGAATTTGTGGTTGTAGCTGTAGATGTAACGCTCGTAGGACTAAATGGTGAGCTCGTTATATCGCTAAATATCGTCGATGTGAAAGGAGAAGTGGTGGTACTAGGTGTACCAAAAGTAACTCCGGTATTTGTAGTACCAAACGGTGTGCTAGAGGAAGTAGCTGTAGTAGCAAAAGTTTCACCCGCAGTTTCCGTAGCCATCCCAAACGTAGGCTTCGGGAAAGCTGCCGTACTGGTGGTTTCAAATTGCGAGGTTGCGGTAGCGAAAGGACTCGTAGTCGTTGAAGGTGTTGCGCTAAATGGCGAAGCACTGGAAGTGGCCATAGAGGGTGTGGTACCCTGAGCATTTCCAAATATATTTACGGAAGATGTAGAAGTGGTAACGCCAAAAGCGGTTGTAGGCTGTGCCGAACTGAAGGCAGGTGTTGTGGTACTGGACCCGCCGAAAATACTACCAGAATTTCCAAATGCCGGTTTCTCGCCAAATATCGAACTGGGATTGTTTCCAAAAGTTGCTGAAGCACCAAATACTGGTGCTCCCCCAAATGCAGGTGTTTCAGACTGCGAGAATATGCCTGAACTGAAGGTTCCGGTGGACGGAGTCGATCCGAAGATGGAGTTAGTTGTCTGTAAATTTGAAGAGCCGCCAAACGGATTAGCAGTAGAAGTTTTAGCTCCGGCAAATACAGAAGCGTTAGATTGAGAAGAAGTTCCACTGAATAAAGAGGGAGAAGATGTTGCTCCGCTATTGAATACTGATATGGGCGCCTGGGACGTTTCATGCCTGGCGAAAACATTGTTCACTGGATTGCTGGTTCCAAATATGCTAGGCTGCCCGAAAACGGGTTGGGAAGCTCCACCGCCAAAAATCGAGCCAGACGATCCAAAAGTCTGCGTGTTTTGTCCTGCATTAAATGTAGAAGTGTTTGTAATCCCACCAAATACAGTATTAGTGCTGGTACCACCACCAAACACTCCTAAATTACTGCCAAAAGTTGGTGTACTACCAAATACAGAATTTGAAGTTGTAGGTGTTCTCCCAAAGATTGATGTATTGCTGGTGGGCGGGAAACCACCGCTGAATGGATTGCTCTGAGTTCCAAATGTCTTGTTTCCAAATACATTGGAGGATGGAGTACTGCTTGGAAGTCCAAGTTGAGGAGTTGCAAAAGCAAAACTAGAGGATTTCCCAGATGTATTATCGTTCCTGGCATTCTTGTGTCCTGTACCTAGAATCTCTTTCTAGAAGATAAAAATACTTTAAATTACATTTATAATGATCAATATCAACTTTTTATGATGCATACAAGCTTAGTTAGTGTTTCGCGGGTAGGATTCTTGAAAGCTTCTCTTTTTGCCTTCATATCTGTACACAGTTGTTGGAAATGTAATTTCTAAAAGAAATATAAAAACATAGATATATTGAAAGAATTCATAACTTTATAACAAACAGAAATTATTATGTATACTAACTGCCTGATCTACCATCCCATTATTTTGAGCTTGGTACATCTCCCATCGAACTTCTTCCGGAGACAAATCTTCCATGCCAGGAATACACGGTTTGTCCTTAAATGGTGCAAAACATGATAGTAACCATTGTCTTCCTCTCTCTGCATTGAGCATTTCTTTTGCAACCAACACCCTTGATTTACGATAAAAATTAAATTAATTCCATACTTTGGCATTCTTTGTTGAATAATTTTATAATACTTACGCAATATATTCATCCTCATTGTAAGAGTCAACTTTGTTATTACCTCCTATAGAACGAACGATGTTTAAAATGTTTAAACATCAAAGAGAGAAAAATATAATTTTCTGTACTATATAAACTTTATATCTTACCAAAAGTATTTATATGTTCGAATTGACAATATTGTCCAAATCGACAATTTCCTTGTCGATAGTATTTACAAACAACCATCTTGCATGTGATTCAATCCATTTAATTTTATTGTGTATTCCTTGTCATATCGATAATTCTATTCACTTATGCACGCACACAAATCTAATGTAGGTCCTGTGATCTACACTAGAGGACGTGATTATTTCGATTCAACCTGCGAACTTAGATTCTGATTTTATAAAACCTAGCTTTCTACATGATACAGGTTTATCAATCTTCGGAGACAAATATTCAAATGTAAAACGTTAATTTCTATAATTCTGGTTTATTTTTTATAATTTAAAGTATTTATCTTTTAAATATAGTAACTTTTATAGTGGACCACGTGGTTGATCAGTTAGAATTAGTTCTGGTTACAATCAGTTAGAGCTTTGCAATATCCTAAACTTTTATGATATTGATATCCTAACAGAAGAGTAATATACATTACATCTGTAATAAAAAGTTAGAAATATTTGAAAGAGTAATTTAAGCGAATGATAATTTTGCTTGATTAGTGATAAGAATATCATTTGATTCTTCATATTGAATAGAATTTAGCAATAGCAGGTAATAGTCATCAGTTAACGCATCTAATTACGCATATTATAGGAATGCAGACGTATGTGCAAAAGTATCACGATGATTCATCGTACATTTAATTAAATTTGTTGATACGATCTGCATTTGTTTCAGTAAGAATTCGTAAATTTAAAATACATAAGAAAATATAAAAATGCAGTCATTCTGTCGTTAGAGCGTACATTAGAAAGAGAATTAACACATCTCCAATTGAAAGAAACAGAATTTTGAAATTTGGATTTGTAGAAATGTGAACTAAATAAAATTGCTAGAAAATCATAGACATCTAGCGGCAGCAGATGAAACTATTAGCGATAGGAGGATGCCCCTCCCTAAGGAGATGGCCCCCCCAGCGTATCTCACCGCCTGCCACCATTGTTACGTCCGGATTTTAGATTTCGGTATCTGTGATGAGACAATTTCATAGTTTTATAAGAATGTATTTGTAATTTACAAGTTTGTAATTTATTGTTTTCTAAAGTCTACGTTGGAGGTGTCGTTATTAGCTGCGGTATAGCCGTAGTCGGATAATGGTAAGAGCTATTTCTTAATGTCCGAGAAATAGGTTATATAGTAACTTGTGCCTATCGAAATGATAAAATTCTTTATCAGTCAAGCCGGATGCCTTCGTATCTAATTTCTGTTTACTGTTTGATATATTTTTTCTCGACCGTTACTAACTTAAATAACAAATATAATTTTATATTGAGCAATGACATAAACTTAAATTTCGTGTATGTGTTAGCTATGACTTTTGAATTTTTTAATAACTTTACAAATTACTTACCGTTGATACGTTTGTTACAGTCAGGAACGCTAAAACCTTACCTGGCAGCAGTGAGGAGAACACTTACTGCTGCTATGTGTTTAGAGAACTTCTCCTCTCAAATAGTTGAGAAACATAATAAACCTGAAGTTGAAGTGCGAGCTAGTAAAGAACTTCTTCTGACACCTATATTAATAAGCAGAAATGACAAGGAGAAAGTATTGATCGAATCAAGTATAAACAGTATGAGAATAAGCATTGCTGTAAAACAAGCTGATGATCTAGAAAAGCTACTATGTCATAACTTCACAAGATTTATGACAATGAGGGCAGAACACTTTATTATCCTCAGGAGAAAGCCAATAGAGGTAAATATTATTATATATGTCAAACATTAATAACACAAGAAACAAATAATCAATGTTTGTAATATTTATTATTCTATAGGGTTATGATATTAGTTTTTTAATTACAAACATCCATGTAGAACAAATGTACAAACACAAGATCGTAGACTTTGTGATTTATTTCATGGAAGAAATTGACAGAGAGATCAGTGAGATGAAATTGTCAATGAATGCAAGAGCTCGCATTTGTGCAGAAGAATTTCTAAAAAGGGTCAGTATCTATGGATATAATAGGTGGAAAGATATGTATAAGAATTGTCAAAATATTGCTTTTGATTTCAGTTTTAATTTTACGGACACGACGTGTTAGCAACATAGCAATAATCACAAACGCCAGGTCACTAAAAGTAATAGTGCCCATAAATCAATCTGGTTAATACATAGCCAGAGGATATTTTAATGGATTAATATCTTAAATTGACTCCAAACGCTCCTTAATCCAGACACGCCAATCCCTACTATCGTCCGTTCTCGAAAACAAATTCATTTGAATATGAATATACATTTATCGACTAATCACTGTCATCTCCAGCTCTGTGTGTAACGAATAACAAGTCTGATGTACATGTAAGTACCTTAACGGTATTAAATTCTGCACGCGCAGTCCGCGAACGATAACTCCGAGCATACTTGCGATCGTGCGTTTCTTTCTCCCAAAAAGAGGGAAGTTGAAACACTTAATGGTGGTGTATGAGTAAAGCGTGCAATTCTTTTTTGCATTTATAAAATTCTATTTATCTTACGAAACACTGTATCCATATGATTTAATACTAATGTAAATACAAATAAACGAGAAGAA